CCTCAGTGTGTCCACCTGGATCTCTGGCAGGTGTGGCCTGAGGGTTGGCAGGGGTTGCCTGCTGGGACTGCAGGCTGGGCAAAAGCAGAGACTGAGGAGTGGGATGGGAAAGAGGATCTCTGGGATCCACAGGAGGAGGAGGAGGAGCGGGTCACGGAAGGCTGCCCCGGGTGTTCTTTACCCTTTATGTTTAAGGCAGAGAAACTCAGTTGAGGTAGTGCACTAAACCTTTTTTGCATTTTTGAGTCTTCCACTCATTTCTCCAAGCTAGTCCCGTCCCGTCCCACCCCCCATTCCAGCTCTCTCCCCATTGCTCCGTCTTTGAGGACCTCGCTGCAAATGTGTCCTTCGACTGTACGCTTTCTACATGGACTCTTCCTCTGCAGCATTCATTTTCTCCTAAGTTAGGGCGGTTTCCATCCTCAGCGCTTCTCTAAGTTATAAATGAGATCAGTTAATATTAGCCTCAGTCTTCCTTCAGGATACCCACTTTAGGTGAGGGCGTAACCGGGTATCATGGGGTTTCCCAGCTACCCAACATAAATGGGTGACTCTGATTGTTCTTAGTCCACTCAATATACTGTCATGCAAATTTGAATAAACAGCAGAGCCAGTTAAAATGTTCAGTGGTTGGGGAAACATCCAACAAAGGCTGATTTAAATTTGTATGTAAAACATATATTCCTTGTCGCTTTTGAGGAGTTATGGCTTTAAATGTAACCTCTGTATGATTGGTTTTATGTAATTTCAGGCAATATCCATGGGGTATTTTCAAACATTAAGGGTTTATTTATTGATCCCAAGTAATATGCTATTGTAACCTACTCATATTTTTTTAATCAAAATAATAATCAACCTGCATTTTATTTAGTGGCACAATGACTTCTGTAGGCTCTTTGTCAGTGAGTTCTTTAAGATGGGTCCTTTATTAAGTCTATTGTGCTTTGTGAATAAGGAGTTACAGATTGTTGCATAGAATTTTTACATGAATGCATTTCTGTAATACCATTTCCATCTTGACATATATTTCCAGCTGGAGATGAAGAGCAAGGAAAAAAGGATAAGTAATTCATAAGGAAATAGGGGGTTGATTCTATGAGTTACTGCTGCACCAGCAGCCTTATTTAATCATCTAAAAACCTGCTCAGCTTCAGGTGTTATATGTCATAGAGAATTTACCCAAACATCTCCAGAAGCAATTTAAAGGAGGTGAGCTAAATAAATCCTTAGAAAGTCAGATACGAGCATACCCAATAACATAGCCTAAAATTTTAAATTTCGCTCTTTTATTTACCAGGAAATTTAAGCTTTCCTTTAAGTATTGATTAGATGAGCAAGAGAAGGGAATGTCATCCATGTAATTAATCACCAATGTCTCAGGAAATGTAAGCAGCTATGGCTTAAATGTCCTACTTGCAATTGTTCCTATGCTGGAAGCTGGGCCTGTTTTTTTCTTGCCCCAGGAAGGGACTGTTGATGACACGATAGTGAATTAGTCTCAGTGTGAGAGAACAAACAAAAATCATACAAACAGAAACCTAAGTTCTGGGACAGCCAAGCTAGCTCACACTGAAGCAGCAGAGCCCGGCTCACTGTTCTCTGGAATTCAGGTGTTGCCTCTGAGGCTTT